TCTGAATTGTCCGAATTTTTACTTAAGGCGAAGTTTGGAATTGATTCTTCATCACAAGGAATTTTTTACAATAAATGAGCCCAATTGGTGGCCACAGTCCACAAGGGCAATCCCAAGGCCGCCTCTCACCTTCCAGAGGAAGGCTACTCAGCCAGAAGTCTCTCAGAGGCTTGAAATGCACGAGCCGTCCCTCTCGACTCAAGGAGACCTAAGTCACCACTCAAAGGAACAGTTCCGGCAGCACCTTCATGGGGTTCCCAACAATGTGATGTGTATGAAAAGCAACATGGTGGGTTACTGAGAGTACACACAATGGGCACGTTAAGAAGTAAGGAAGAGCTATAAGCCTGCATCTCACAAAGAGGTCAAAAAAAACTTTCATGTTTCATTTTCGCATATCATAAAGGGATCTATCTCTGCTTGATTAACCTTGAATGGTCTGGAAGGTACAGAGGACCAACTCCTGGAACACAGAGAGCGGTCGAGAGTCCCCAGTCACACCAGCAGGCACGCTGGCCAGCCCAGTTCCCCTGGGCAGGCTGGACCCTCCCGTGCGGCAGTGCTCCGGGCTCACACGCTGCCTGCAGGCTTCTGTGTGCAGTTCCGGGGCTGACCTGAATCAGCAAAGCCCTACACACGGTTCTCCTCTGTGATCCACATGTGATGTCTCCTATGAGGTTCCAGCAGACTTCCCACAACGGGGCTTCTGATTCTCCTCACAGATTCTGCATCGCCAAACCTCTCTTCCCTTCCGGTCAACCTTATGATTCACTCGCCACTTAACAAATTAACAGGAGAGGTCAAAGTAAAGCAAATCACAGAAGGGATCTGACTCTGGATGACTAACACTGAATAATGCATCACCAACCACTGACATCTACTGTTTATGTCAAATGTAGTTACCAAGTTTAAAGTGAAATCATACATGAAATAGTTCCCCAAATACTCTTCTACGAAAAGGTAAAAAATGTTAATGGAAAAAGCTTGACAATGCACCAAGGTTCCAATCCTCCATCTGCCGTTAACCAACTTTACTCAGGCAAATCACTAACTTAGTTTTAACCAATTTTTCCCCCCAAAACAACCACATCTGAAAGCCATAATCCTCTGAAACAGACAAAGCGAGCCACCCCACTGCATGACAGAGGAGCAGAATGAAGGCTGGGAAGGCTGAACGGCCTGCTCACCACCAGCAGGAAGCCACAGAGGAAGAAGGATGGAGCCCCATCTTCTGACGCCTCCACTTTCATGGCTCTCAGTGGCTTTTGTTCACTGAACCTGTTAAGACTGAGGCACTTAAAATTTCATATATAATCTTAAAGAGTTCAGTCACACGGCTTAGAATCCAACAGTGATAACTGTCAGCTAAATCTCACAAGCAAATAGCAGTATACAAAAAAAAAGTACTAGCTTTATTTCCTTCTCAGATAGGCTTTAACCAGATAATCGTCTTGACTTTTCCTCCGTAATGATATGTACTTGTTAGAGATTTCCTAGATCACAGCACTGTGACATTTCTGACATTAAACAAGAATGAAAGCTGGCAAAGCAATTCATTAGGTACTTATTAATAAGGAACTTCATTTAAAATCCATTCATATAGCATCCTTAAGTGTTTCAAAGTCCTCATGTTTTGGACATAAGTTCACAGATGAACACTCTTTCTATTTACTGCAATTCTACTTCCTCTCCTGGATTGGAAAAGAAAGCCCCATTTCCTGCACCGATTGTTATGGTCAGAAGAGGTCCACCAATGGCATCTTGGGACGGCCGCTTTCTCTCACACATGTGGCAAACATGGATGGCCGAGAGCATGGCTGTACACGCTGGCTCCAAGCCTGTGCCCTCTGCGTGCAGGGCCCTCAACAGGAGTCCCCAGACACAGCCTGCGGTTCTGGCCCGGCCAGCTGGGCGACTTCAGGAAAACCATCCTGAAGTTCTGCACTTCGATTTCCACATGCGTAAAAGGAATGGAGTAACTGACCTCAAGGACAGGCCTACTCACATTCAGAAGTTCTATGAATCTCTGATCAAAAGACAGCATAATCACTGAACCTCAAAAAAATATCAGCATAGGAATAGGCAACTGTCCGGTTTATCTTTAATTTTACACACACACTATGTACCAGACACTGGGTGGTGGACTGGGGCCGAGACACTAAGGTATGAAGTCTCTGGCATGTGCCCGACAGCTGCATAAAGAAAGGGGCCCAACAGCCTCCACAGCACAGCAGCTGGGGGCAGGAGGTTTGGGGTCCAGAGCATGGCAGGGCTGGGGAGAATGAGGCCCCCTTTTGTGACAGGGCTTCACGAAAAAATGGCACTAGGTGAAGACAGTCACTAGAAACTTCCATAAGGCAGAGACATGATCCTTGTGTCTGCGGCCCCTACCTCAGCTCACAGTGCGCACCTAATAAATGTTGTTTGACCGTTACTGATGTACTGGTAACCGAAGAATCATCCGTATTCTGCTAACAAACACACCATCTTGTAAACACTAGGTGTCCTTGCCCTTAAAGAATTTGTTCAGGGCTGGTCTGAAAGAAGACAATGGGAGGGTAATACGTTACAACCCGCTGCATAGAGGGCGCTTTGAGATCATTCAGGAAACCTGGGCAGGAAACTTAAAGGATGGTAATGCTCATTAAGTGCCTCTGTGTTGGGCACTTTACATACTTTACTCTTCAAAACGGAATTCCTTTCACCATCCCATTTTACAGGAGACAAAACTGCAGCGCAGCAAGACTGAATAACTTCTCAAGGGGCAAAAACTAGAGTAAGGGCAGAATTAAAAGCAGTGTCTAATTCCAAAGCTATTTCCACTCCACATACCATCATGCCTTTCATTCTTACATTTTATCTTTACACCTGCAGTCGGGGCTAGCAAAATCAGCCAAAACTGCTGTCCAGAATCATCACGAAACAAGCATCTAGCTTTACCCAAGTATTTTACCTGAATAAAAATCACTTGTGAAAATGTCTTAACAAAAGAATCAGCAAACTAATTTTGAACAGCTGCATATGTGATGTTCCTACATTATACAAGCACAAGGCTAAATGAAACTGCAACACGAATGAAGAACATAAGCAGCAGTCCTTTCGGAAATGGACATCAGTAAATATCATTTCCAGTGCTGGGGCTGAGGAATCCAGCTATGATCCATAGTTTTGGGTTATTCCACTGACTGTATAGTGAGAGAAACAGCAAATTAGTATTTGTTTGAGAGGACAGAAGATATTTTTGGAGGGGAGGGAGGAATGGTAGTTTAAAAATGAGTTTTAAGAAATACAACTAATTAAATATTACAGGTCAAAGACACGGTACGTGCCCGATCAATCTTGTTAAAGGGACTGGACCAGTGGGGCCAGAATGTGTCTTCCTCACACTTCTGACGCCTAGGTTCTCTCACTTAAGAAGTTACTTTTTAAGCCATCAAAAACAAAAGGCTTACAAAACCTGTGCAAAGGGATCAGACACTAATTTGTATCACAATTTGTATAAAGTTACACTCCCCAGTGCCCAGAGAATGTGTCCATATTAACTAGCAAACCAATGCCAGTTAGCAAATATTGACACAGTAGGATCAGCTTACTTTAGATCCTAATTTTGCAAATAGTCATTATTCCCTGCACCTGCTTATTTTTGTTTTGTGGTGATTACAGGTGTCTTAAAGGGCTTCTAGATATCCTTTGGGTTTATCAGCACCATTAATATTGCATTCATTTCATTAAAAATGTGGCAAGTAGCTCAGATTTACAAGCAGGATCTAATTCCAGAGTTACTTCCATTATACCCATGAAAAAACTTTATTTTTTCTCCCTAAATTCTCAACTTTTTGACTCAGTCTATGAAATAATCCCGTCAGGAAGCGTACTTACTTCTCATCCTGTTTATCCAATTCCTTCAACAATTTACTGGGTGTCTAGTGTCTGAAACCTAACTTTTAAAGAGCTGTACATGTAAACTTTAGGTCCTTTCCGTCTCAAGCCTTTTTCCTTCTCCCCCAAAATTCTGTAGGAATTTGCTGGTTCTCTCAACCCTGAAAGCAGCACAACGACTCAAAACTATGGATCGTATTCCCACTACTTCATCACGGAGGATAACTTTGAAATGCAAATACACGCTATGAGTTTACATTTTCACCAGCACCCTAGCCACTTAGTAAGTGTAATCCCAAACAAACTCTGTAACGATTCCATTTCAGCACGCCCATAGGACCTTTCAAAAAATTCAGAGACTCAATTCTCTTTCGAGGATTCCAAGCTTAATCAGAGTCTGTATTACACTATCTTTAACAATGTTACGGACGAAAGCATTTGCCACATTCATTCCTAACTCGACCAACAAAACCCTGCACCCCACGACGAAGAGAGAGTCCTTTCATGTTCTCAACTGAATATGAGGGGGCGGGGGCGGGGGGGAGAGACAGGCGCCCCGTTTGCAGACTTGCACCGACCAGAGCCTCCGGCCAGCCCCAGAGCACACGCTTCCTTTCAGAACCTGCGAGTAACCTGCGAACACAGCCCTGGGCTTCCATTAACACTTCGTCTGCGCTCCCTCTCCACCAGTCACGCCCTAAACCTCAACCCACCCCGGACCCCGTCTAAACATTTCTCCACCAACCCCGCCAACCACCGAGAGCGAGAGGGCCTTCCCGGGCTGGGCCCAGGCCCGGCCCGCGACCGCGGCTCCGCGAAAGGCCACCGCGGCTCTCGCACGCACTCCCGCCCGCCCCCAGGCCCGCTCGCGTCTCCCGGCGCCCCAGTCCTCCCGCCGGCGCACAGCAGCACTGACAGTTACGGCGGCAGCAGCCGCGGCCACCAGGGCCTGCTGCTGGCACCGGCCCCTCCACCCCACGCGCCCCCAACACGCGCCCCGGAGCTAGGGGCGCCCCTGCCCTCGCTGGAGCCAGCCCCGCGGGCCGCTTGGGCGACGGTGGGGCCCCAAGGAGCTGCCACCCGGCGTTCCCAGCCCAGGGCCGGGCTTCGGCCACACCGACCTGTCGTCGCCCCCGCGCCTGGGCTGCGGCCCTCGCAGCAGCGGCCGCCTCACTGGTCGTCGTCGCCCTCGCCCGCCGCCTCCGCCCGCCACCGCCTCGTTCCCTTTCGCTGCCGCCACCGCCGGCGCTCATGCGGGACCCGCGCTTCTTTCTCCGGGGACCGAGGCCGGGGAAGGGGACGCCGGGGCCGCAGAACACCCCGAGCTTGCCGCCAGCCGCCGCTCCGACGCTGCCAGTCCACACCGGGGGGCTGCGGGGCCCGCCTGGCCGCGGCTTGCCTGCGAGCTGCTCCGAGCGCGGCCCCGAGGAGGAGCCGAGGGAGGCGCCGCCGCCCGCGGCCGTGAGCGCCGGGTCGGCAGAGGTGACGCACAAGCGGGGGTGGCGGAGTGCGCGCGGGAGAGGAGGGCGGTGTGTCGAGCTTCCGGCCAAAGGGGATTCAGGTTCTGTCGTCTCCTGCAGTCACCCCGAGCCCAGTGCCACCATCTTGGGAAAAACGCGGATCTCGCGACCGCGGCGAAAGCCGGGAGGATTGGAGGGGCGGGCCGAGTATCCCGGCAGGCAGCGCGCGCCACGGGTCTGGCTACGACTCAGGGCGGGGACCGAGGACGCAGCGCTCGACCCCGCCCCCCCCCGTGCAGTCCCGCCCCCTACCCCAGATGCCGTCGTCGCCAGCGCAGGGGGCGTTGGGAAGGGGAAGTGGCTCGCGGCTCCCGGAGTCCCACCAGGGTCGGTCGCCATCTTGATGCCGGGAGGAGGGAGCAGTACTTCCCGAGAGCCGCTACTGTCCGTCGCCCGACAGAAAGAAGGGATCGCGCCCCGGAAACCCCCTGGAGTCCCCGGGAGTGTCGGAGAGCCCTCCCGCTCTGCCCAGCGGAGGACAGTGCCGGAATGTGGTCGCTCCCCATTTTGTTGGGGGACGAATTGGTTTGAAAGTGTGCCGAGGGGGCCTTGGGTGGCCCGCAACTCGCAGAGTCCCCCGAACGTTAGGTCTCCGAACCCCACCCTTTCTCTGCTGCCTAAGGAAGCAGGGCAGAGGCAGCCCGAAAGCGCAGGCCTGGTTACGGGGGACCAAGGTCATCTGCCGAGGCTTCTGCCAACACACGGCGTGTCACGGCTTACAAAGGGGAGATCGTCGTGGGCAGAGGGAACGTGGCCTCAGGGTTGACCGCAACTAGAAAGTGACTGATGTTGTGCCGTTTGACAAATCCATTTAAAACCTTACGTCTTCACACTTAGTTCCCAAATCTCCATTTTCTTTAAAAGGGCTTTTTTTTTTTAATGGCTCTGCCACACTTTTTTTAGCAAAGCAATAATAGAACTACTAACAATTCATTGTTTTAACACCTTGCAACTTTGCTGAAAAGGCCATCATAATACGCTGTATGAGATGCCTTGCATCTGCTGGTCAACCTTTATATATATCAGCAATCAGAGTCTGTATTTGGCTGTTGTTCTTAGCACATGTTTTTTAATAGTCAGGGCTTCCCAACTATAAAAACTTAACCAATTATAAAAAGTAAGCTAGAGGAATCTGAATTATTCTAGGGCTACTGGTGATAAATGACGGTGTTAAATCCCGTCCAACTTTAACTCAATTCCTTATTTCGTCATTTCCCCATTACAGGTCCTTATTTGGAAATGATGAGCAGTTATATATTATGGAAAAGATCAGTTAAAATCATCATCTTTTAAGGGCGTATCTTTACGTGTTATCAAAATAGGCAAGTGGGGATGAAAATCTTTAAAGACTTTGAGTAATTCAACCAACGTGTTACTACAGTATTTTGCATGTAAGAATACATTTCAGCTATTCTGCTTCTTAAGTAGCAATCGAATAAATGAAATGTAATTTTGTAATGACCTGGTATATCGTCAAAACCTGGCAGAAATCCGAGTTCCCCCAAAAAATATTGCATAGAAATAAGTAAAATCTGCTCTCAGTTAAATGTCAGAATGACTACTGAGTTCTTTACCAAGACCTAGGAAGAAGCTGGAGACAGCACCCACAGCCCTTCAAGTTCATGAATATTAAAGGAGTGTTCTTGAGTGACACTGGCGGCAGACGCTGCAAGGACCCACTGTGCTCTTTGCCTTATCCATATTCAAATTCTGAAATGTTTGCTGGTAAAAACTACCAGCACAAATATTGTCAGGAATTCTTACAATACTAATTAATAGTGTTCTATCTCCAGGTTTTGTGAATAAAATTTTCTCCTAAATGAGGCCCATATTTTTTTCTTCAGTGTGCTTTTCCAGAAAAACACCTGAGTTTCTGCTGAGCAGTGAAATGTTTAGACTTCTAATCAAAATGAAACAGTTGTTTCTAATAATTTTCTCATTTTGGGTGTAAAGTGAAAGCAGTTTTTTTATTATTATTATTATTATTATTATTATTATTATTATTAGCATGAATGCCTTGAACAAGCCTTGAACTTTTACTATGAACCCAGAACTGGGACAGGCTTCGGGGAACAATATAAGATTGACAAACACTATCACTGCCCTCTGCTCACAGCCCAAGAGGAAGTCACACTTCCAAAACCATGGATACGTCTGCAGAATAATCCAGCATTTTAGTGATTACAGGGTGGGTATTCACTAACATGTACCTTGTAACATTCATAGTTTTTTTAACACAACATTTTGCCTCAGATTGCTGGTGAAGTGGGTTTGTTGATAGGGCTGCTTTGGTGCTCAAGGTTTCTTGTTGATATGAGTCACAACTGACGAATCAATATGGAAAAAAACAACAGTTTTTTTTTTTTTTTATGACCTAGCATTCCGGGGAGATCCGGAATAAGCTCTGACATAGATAAGGGTCAGATAAGGTGGGATAAAAGTTACTGTTGCTATTTTTAGTTTGCACCCAAACGTTATTCAACTACTGAGAGAAATTCTCAGTACTTAAGAAGAGCCATTGAAGCACAATAGGCTCCGTGGAGAAAGCTGCCTGGCATTTGGTGTAGGTGCTGGGTAAATGTTAGCGCTTAGTAACAGTAGCAATAATATTAGTGTGATCTGTATTACTGTGCAGCTTTACACACTTCAGGCATGAACTTCACACCTCCACCCTGATTTCTACAGATCTACCTCCATTTGCACTCCCCCGATCTCCTGTCTAAAAGTATGAGCCATCCTTCTGGGTGGCTTGTTACATTTCTACAGCTAATTTTTTTTTTTTTTTTTGGTGGGGCAGGGAGTCTTTTCAAGACCTGAATCACTGTCCTTGTCTCTCTCCTGCTCAGAAATTACCCCTTTTACTAATAACGTCATCCCTTCTGCCCAGGAGAGCTCTCTGTACTTACTTGGTCCTTTCCTGAAAGTCCCTCTTCAGCCACTGATATTTAGCATCGGCCCCCATTCTCCTACATGGATAGCTGTGGGGATGGCAGACACAAAGGCTGCCCCTCCGTGTTCCCAGCACGCCTGGGAACGGCGCCCCTCCGCCTTCAACAGCCTCTCCTGTGTCTCAAGTCGCTCCTTTTGCAGGATGCTCCTCTCTCCATCCTTGGTTCTCTGTGCTGCCTCTGACTATACCATTTGCATACACCCTTGTCTCTGTTGCTCAGAGATCTGGTTGGATTCTCGAACACAGACCTCACTCAGAAACTTCAACCATGGCTGGTGTAGCTCAGTGGATTGAGCACAGGCCTGCAAACCAAGGGATCAAGGTTCGATTCCCAGTCACTGGAGGCCAGTTCCCAACAGGGGATGCACAAGAGGCAACCATACACTGACATTTCTCTCCCTCTCTCCTTCCCTTCCCCTCTAAAGATAAGTAAATAAAACCTTTTAAAAAAAAAGAAAGAAACTTCAGGCACACGATGGAAACCCATACGGGGTCTTCTGCAGGCACCTCACACTCCGCTTGCCTCAAACAGAACTGCTGAATCAGTGCCATGTTCCATCACTAACTGAGAGGGGTAACTGTGGGGAGGAGCGAGTTTGGGAGGAACAAGGGAGCAGGTTTGGGAATGTTAAATGTGCGAGCCTGTGTATCCGCATTAGATATCTGTAGTGGAGATTGATTGCTAATTGACCCCCAGTCAGTCTTCATGATGATGGGCTCTCTAGCCAGATGCGTGGTCGCCTGTAAGAAAGACCACGTGTGGCCGCGTCACTGCATTCTGGCCCGTCAAATATGAGCAGAAATGATGCATGCAGCTTTCCCCGATCCTACTCTAAAAAGAAATGGAATGCCCCATGTCCCTTCATCCTTTTCTCTTTAAAGACTATTTTATTTATTTATTTTTAGAGAGAGGGGAAGGGAGGGAGAAAAAGAGGGAGAGAAACATCCATGTGTGGTTCTCTCTCGTGCCCCCTACTTGGCCCGCAACCCAAGCATGTGACCTGACTGGGAATTGAACCAGCGACCCTTTGGTTCGCAGGCCAGCACTCAATTCACTGAGCCACACCAGCCAGGGCCCTTTGTCCCTTTCTGATGATTAGAATGTGGCTGGGGCTGAAAGGTATGTTGGAGGGATCACAGAGCATGAAGGGGGCTCCGCGGACATCATGGGTCAGAGCCTGTGTACCAGCCTGAGCTTTGGTGGGACACAGCTACGAACTTCCATACCATGCCATGGTTATTCTAGGTTCCTTTTACTGCCCCTGGCCTCGTATCCTAGCAACCCAATGAAGGGATGCAGGGGCAGCTGGATGTGGGAGAATCAAGGGGAGAGTCAAACCAACCGCCCTGCATTCCCCGACTTGACGAGTGCTCTGCCATCTTTGACAGTCCCTGCTCATAGTGAGGTTAGAAATCCCAGATTTCTTTCCCTCATTCTCCCAGCAATTAGAAGGCAAAGGCATACGCATATTCCTGAAAGAACTAGTTTTAGAATGAGGTAGCACCAGCACGTGCAAAAAGTCCAGGCAAACATCATAAGCAAGCCCCTTTCTGACTTAGTTTTCTCTCCTGTAAAATGGGGTTGTGAAGATTAAATAGTCGTACAGATAATATACTTAGGATAATGAAGGGTGCGTGATACAAGCTCAGTAAAGGCGAGCTTTTTTATATCGTGAAATCCCAGTTCTGCTCTTTACCAAATACAGAAACTTCCATGAAATCTTCAGTTAATTATTCCCTGTTTCTCCATCAGAAAAGGGGGGAAAATATACCCTGGCTGGTGTAGCTCAGTGGATTGAGCACTGGCCTGTGAGCCGAAGGGTTGCCAGTTTGATTCCCAGTCAGGGCACATGCCTGGGTTGCAGGCCAGGTCCCCAGTAGGGGGCGCACAAGAGGCAACCACACATTGATGTTTCTCTTCCTCTCTCCCTCCCTTACCCTCTCTAAAAAGAAATAAATAAAATCTTATAAAAAATAAAAAGAGGGGAAAATAATACTACTGACCTCATGGGACCTACTATAGGCCTTCGCTCACCCATTGGACACATATTTATTGAATAGATTGATGTATTTGTGCTGTTCTGGAAAACTGCAGAGCCTGCCCTCATGAGGTTTATGCCCAACAGAATGTGTCAGAAAGGCAGTAATTGTTCATCAGATGCATAAATCAAGGTGAAGAGAATAGAGAATTCT